TCCATAATAGATTAACTTTATATTTTAATTTAAATGAGCACTTATTACATTAAACATGATTTCTCTTTTCAACCCAAACATTCGAGTGCGCTGGCATTACCCATCTGTTTTTACTCTGGCCAAGGAGGATGAGGAGACAACGCAGGTATGACCTGATGGCTGTCTCACCTGGGTTGCCAAAACGTTGTCCTAAAAGTGGGTTCTTAAGCCAGTGTACAGAGAGTCAAGAGACCCACAGCACGGAGGTACTTGTTTCACTTCTGTGCAGAGAAGGGTCCTAGGTGGTAACTCCACAATGCTTGCACACCTTCTCTTATCCCTGTTCTGTATTTACACGCTTTCTGGTACACAAATCTTTTCAGTGGTTACATTCTGATTGCAGCACATACCAGTTTGGCACTGGCATAATAATGCCTTGGCTAATTAGCATAGAGAGCAGTGGGACGGTCACATTCTTATCAAATTCTTATCACCTCATTATTTGATTGGGAAGGGAAAGTTAGTATGTTAATAAGCTTTAATGAGCTTATTATTATTGCTTAATGAGCTTTAATGATCTATATATCATCCTGAGTTGAATGCCATCCTTGTTTTGTCAATTCATCTTTGGAGAGTTTGTGCTTCCCTTATCATTCCATTAGAACTGGTCATTCTCTGCCATGCTGATTTACAGCATTCTGGCTTGACTCTCCCTTCTCTCTGTTCTTGATTCTGATTAACTCTTTACGGAATTCCCACGGCCTCAACACGATGACCGTTATTAAAGGAAATACAAAACCGCAGAGCAGGGAGAACAGAGGCGAACGCAACTCAAGCACCTCAAAGGCCAAGGGCTATGGGGCCGGCAGAAGCAGGTCGTCGCACGCCAAGCGAAGGTAGCGCCCGGCCCCGCCCGGCCCGGCGCGCACCTCCCTCCAACACCCCCAACCCGCGCGGCGCCAACGGGCGCCCAACGCCCAAAACGGGCGCCCGCCCCCCGGCGCCACATTTGCATGCGAGGCCTCGCCCCCCAGTGTGACGAATGGGGGCGGCGCTGCCGGTGAGAGGGGCCGCTCCGCCCCGGCCCCCGCCGCCCGTAACGGAAGC